TGGATGGATGGATGGATGGATATGGATGGATGAATATGGATGGATGGATGGATGGATGGATATGGATGGATGGATGGATATGGATGGATGGATACCTTTTTGTCAAGTGCAGTGATGAGAGCAGTCAAACTCTGTTCAACACACGCCCACTTAATATCAACACCCAACCTTTACAGACATTTTTTTTGTCCTTTGTGTCTCACCCTGTAATGCTAATTGTCAAGACTGCTTCCCCCACCCCCTCCCCCAGAACCACCCCCATTGAACCTAAATATTATGTACCTTTATTGGTGAAGGTACAGCATGCCCTTTAGTGTCTTCTGCTTCTCTCCCATGATTAGTGGCCTTGTCTGGGGTACTAGTGCTTGGCCTGGCAGGGGTGCTTGGAGAGCAATTCACATTTGGTGCCATAGTTCCAGCACCTGTATTAATTGGACCCTTTTCAGATCTGGTTGGTAGTGGTTTTGGAGGAGTCTTGGGTGGACCTCTTTGTTGTTCAGTTTTCTTTGGGGTCTATAGAAATAATTAGAAAAGTCTTCACTCATAACTTACAAACGTTGAGATTCACGATCTGAAAATTTGAATTTATCAAAATACAGTAACATTAGCTATGTGAAGCAATGTTATTATCAAATTATGGAATTGATCCAATCATCAGGATTTGTCATTACACCTTTTTTTCTGGAACATAATGTTTTCCTGTTTGTTTGAGTTGCATTGAGTTGTGTCTTCTCATGCACGACTGTTAAACAAAGAAATAAAACCCTAGGGAATGACAAGTGGCTTAAAATGGGAAAACATTATGTCTAAGGTAAAGAGGTCTATTCAGTACCTTAACAACTGAGCCAATCTTTGCTCTATCAGGGGAGAAGCCACCAGCGCCTGGTTGTTCGTATCTGAGAGATACAGAAACACACACCACTGGATCTGTATCATCTGGAACAGACGGCATCTCCTGCTGTGAGCTCATTGGTCGTAGTTTAAACAAGGCTTCTATGACTGCTGGAGATTCCAGCAACTGGGCTTCCTGTGTTAGGAGGCTTTGTAAAGATACTGAGGCCATGCCGAGTGACTGGTCTCCACTGCAAAGATGAACCTGAAAGAAGTATTAAAGCAAATAAACCACCAGTTCAGCTATAATAAGATGGTTCAAGGGCRGATCCAGGGGAGGGGGGCAAGAAAAAAAAACGATGCTTTTTATATTGTTTTCCATTGTGTTGACTGAAGAAACTCAATTAGCCCCCCCCTCCCTAAACTCTATTAGCCCCCTCCCCCAAAATTTTGGCTGGATCCGCCCTTGTGGACTGGATGGACTGGACCAACAGTCAGGGTCTTAAAATAACAGAGGAGAAGGTGCTGTTTTTGTAATAACATCTGCAAATGGTTAAATCTTCAATGGCTCAGGTGACCAAATTAATGACAGTCCTGTCTAATCAATTAGAGAAATTAAAAAAGGACCTTGAGTTTATCAAATTGAATTACTGTCAAGTGTCATCCTCTATTAAACAAAGTTGATTTATTTTAATTTTATAAATCATCTAGACTGTAATTAATTTCTTGTGAAAAATCATGGTGGAATAATCCAAATGTACATTCAATACAGTACCTAAATCCTGTATTCTAATTTGGCTGTATTTTCAATTAACACCATTAGTAAGTTATTCCTGACTTACCTCCAGGCCATGGTGTGAGGAGGTAAAGAACTGCTTCAGAGTTTCAAAGGTACTATTGATCCTGACTGATGCTCTCTCGGCAGGGAAGTTAGGCTGCAGTAGGTCATGGAAGACTTCATTAGTGACATCGTTACCAAGAAGTGAGTAATAAAAGTAAAATCCTCCACCTAGTTTGGGGTCTGATAGCTTGAATGATGATGGTATGAGCTATGAAAAGAAAAAATTAACAAAGATGTTAAAACTGTCTTCAAAATGTTTAACACAAGACTACTTCAGGAATCAGGGTGGCACTTGCCTCTAACCTCTGGGGTCTCAGGGTTAATTCCCGGACTTGGCATCAGTTGTGAGTAGAGTTTGCTCCCTTGATCTGAGAATTTTCTCTGGGTTCCCTGGTTTCCTCCCTCATTTTCCTCCCTCAACAAAACCTTACACTCTAAATTTCAATTAAATCTGTAAGTTAGGTGTGTGTGAATTTGATCAGGCTGTAGTTTGTTTCGGGGCAGTTTTAATTAAGAGTTTTCCTATAATAAACTGTTTGCATCAGCTTTACAATGGACATGCTGAAACATCAATGAATATCATTGGTTTTCCTTCAAAAGTTACTAGTCGATACATCGATAAACATCTTTGTAAACATTACCTTAGCCAGGTTTGATGCAAAACCAATGGTTACAGACAAAACAAATACTTTGTTAGCAGAAGTTTTGGGACCAATTTGGTAGAATCCTTCATCATTGTTTAGTAAGGGATGAAGGTTGCCTGGACTTGCTAAAGTGATAACTGGTGCTGGTGGTGGTTCTGTAGGGTATCAAAGTACAGCCTTGTAAGACATTTATACAAACATGTATTAAATATAATGATTCAAAATGGATGGATGGATGTGTGGATGGATGTGTGGGTGGGTAAGTGGATGGATGACTGGATGGACGGATGGATGGTAAGTGAAAGAATGAGTGGATGTCTACAGATAGGTTGATGGATGTCTGGGTAATTAAGTGGATGGATGGATGGCTGACTGGGTGGATAAATGGATGGATGGATGTGAGTGGATGAATGAATGAGTGGATGTCTACAGAAGGGTGGGTTGATGGATGTCTGAGTGGGTAAAACTAAGGCCTAGGGCAAACGTCGAACTTTCCATGCAATGAACTTAATTACATCAAAGAATGCCGCCTCATTATCACTTGATATCCATTGTTTTTAATGAGTTCGGTGCATGGAAAGTTCGAAGTTTGCCCTGGGCCTAAGTGTATCATTGGATAACTTGGGTGTTTGGGTGAGTAGATGGATGAATGTAAAAGTAAGTGGTGTGGATGAATTGGATATACTTATAATGACTGCATTTTATATGGGTAGTTTTGTAGAATAGACCCCTTGCATATGATGCTAAGGAGCTCAATTTGGATGACAAATCAAATGAATTTCAATTTCCAGAGAATTAGAAACTTATTGCTTTATCCTTCAAATTGAGCTGCATTCTGACGAAGTGCTACAAGGGGACTATCTTACAGTAACTAAAAGTATGTAACATATATGTATGATGTTACCAAACCTTTTCTTTTTGGCTGCGGCTGCTGATGCCCAGGTGAAGGGTGAGGTTTATCAGCAGGTTTTGGCTGGGAGTCATCTTCTAGACACAACTGAAGTTTGATTTCTGGCTTGAGCTTTTGATACTTTGAACTCAGAAGTGGGTACCACTGAGCTCTCTATAGAAAAACAAAATGCAATCCAGACAGACATACCTTTAGTCAGTTTTCTCGTTTTGAATATGTGAATATTATTATGATTTCCAACTGAATGACTTGGTGGAAAATTATTCTTTTTAAGCATTCCAGATTACCTCAGGTTTTTGCGGTGCACTTCTTAGATCAAGTATAACATAACCAACATTTTCTTTTTGTGATGTCAAGACATCCAGTGCATAACACTGCAATGAAAGAAAATCAAATTCATGAGGGGGTTTACATTGTATACAGTCACATAATTATGTAGCTTGTACATTTAAGTCAAATCTGTTGTAAACTCCAACAAATCCTCTCCGAAATGGGGGCTGCAAATAAATCCAAATGAGTTAAAATCAAAAGGCTATACCAGTACTAGAAAGAACACCTTTACTTTTTAATTTATAGTAACCTTACAAGATTGAATCATTGTCAGGTGTCTATATATTGGCTGAGAAACCTTTAGCATGAATATTGACAAATTTACAGATATTTATGGCATACATAGTACATAAACTTTATTAATGTGTCAGTCTTCTAGCATACCACTAGTAGTACAATAATCCGTATACACTATTATGTGCCCCTGGAAGTCAGTTTGATTCCTGGACTCAGCATCTCTTGTGAGCTGATTTCAATTGGATTGATCATTTGATTTATGGATTTTTCTCTGTTTTTTTCTTCCTCAACAAAACCTGACATGTTGAATTCCAATTCCATCTTGGAATTAGCTGTGCCTTAACTTTGATCAACCTAGGGGTTGTTTAAGAATACTGAAAAGATAATAAGATTTTTATGATTACCTGGACTTTTATTGGTGTTCGCTGAAGACGATGTTGATGAAGGCTTTTCTTATTCAGTTCCCATGCCAACTCTGTTGAAAATTCTGGAGATTCACTGTGATCAATGGGATCAGTTGAGAGTGTTTCTCCATCAAACTTTGTCTCAATTAAGATCTTGTGCCTGGGGCGCTTCGGGAACTTTTTCCCTGTTGAACATAGAGTTTGGAAACAGTCAGTAAAGGTTTATTTACATTACAGACAGGTTCTAATTACATAGACACTAATGTTTTATCACTCTATATATCTATATATTTAGCTAAATAGGTAGCTCCAGAAAATATCCATACATTCTCCACATTATATGGAACCTCTTTGGGGGGGTATGAAGGTGAACATCATTTTAGCAAATTATGATGGCAAGGAAGTTTACACATTCATGGTTGACAGTTGTTCTGCACATGGCATTTTTTATTGTTACTTGGTACTCATGGGATATCAGGTATGCTAGGATTTCCTTGGTACTTACACTTCATGGTAATATACAGAATATGAAGGGCATTATCATCATAATCATCATCATGTTTTATAATATTATTATCATCATCATTATTACCATCATTGTCATTTATAACTAGCAAATCAACGAATGAATTAACATTAGCTATATCTAAGTCATTATTTCAAAAGTTGTACTGAAATAATAAGAGAGTTTGCAATAATTCAAAGTCACTGCCATAAAATTGATATTCTGGGAAGCATCACAAAAACTCACCTTCAAGAATCGAAACGACCACTAAAATTTGATCCCCGACCGCCATTTACAAAATGACTTCCCTAAGACTCACATCATTAGCAAGATTAGGCTGTTTGAACCACATACGAAGAAAAAATTTGAAGCAAATCAAAGGAAACGAAGCCAAACAAACCGAAAATTACAAATCAGCCGCCATTTTTGCTGTTTGTTTGTATAACTGCTGCACAATATCATCGCGGGCTGTATTATTAGTACTCAGGCTTACGCGCCAGTGATAACTAAGGTATCCCAACAACGAAATTACGTAAAATGATAATTTCTCATCTTCTCGATGTTCTATATATCTTTTATACTTTGAAAAATGGGATTTTGTTAACCAAATTTTTTTCATAAGGTCTTTTTTAAGATAATTGCTTGAATTTCAAATTGAGAAATCGGGATCCCTGTGGTGGCCGGGGAAAGGGACGCGGAGTGTTGATTGCTCTGTTGACTGCTCTGTCTGCTCTGTTATGTTGTCGAGGAGCTTTCTGTTTTCCTGAACGGAAGTTATGATCCAAAGGACAAACGGAAGACTGCTGTCGAAAACGCAATTAAGGAGCGAGAGAAAGGTAAATAAACATCTGTTGTTAAATCGGTCGATTTGGAAGCTATGTGTGAATCGATTGTTATGTTAATCACAAATCCTGGGTGCTTAGCGACACCAAATGATGTCAAACAGCTGGCATTAGTTGATCAAAAATTCTGTAAAATATCCTTCCTGTGAGGCGTAGTGTGCCCACGATTGCRTTCTGAATACTTGGTTTGTGTGTTTGCAGGAGCTTCAAAGAGTTCGTTTTGTTATGGTTTAATACTAGTAACAAGAAGGAAGGTCAAAATAACACAAGAAAGCCAACAAAGTGCTGCAGACAAATGGTTTTCGATTGGCGTACTGTTTTCGTCTTGGTTTCCATTTAATCGACTGGATGACTTTTGAGGTTATTGTTCTTCATAATTACTGACAGTGATATTAGCCCGCGGCGATCAGTTGTTTTACTGTTACCTTGGTTCTAAACATCTTATTTTAATTGTTGCTCTCAAAAAGCCCTTGAAGTAAATATTTCGAATCGTGATTCACTTAACTTAAATTCGACCTTAATCTTCCACAAAACAAGAGTTAATTATCGAGGATGCGTAATATAATTTGCAACGGAGTCATGCGCATGCCTTTTTAAAAACTTGGTTAGTCGTGATTTTTTGGTTAAAAAAAACCCTCAAAGTATGGCGAAGAGTAAAGAAGCAATAGATCTCAAAGGAAAACTATCAAGAAAGATTGCAGAATTGACGATGGTCGTTCACTTGCTGTTCACGAGAAACCATGAACGAGAGGTCGAAATAGAGGCCTTGAAGACTGTGTATGGGCGTGAGATCAAAAAGATTGAAGAAGAAGTTAAGGGAAAAGTTTCATGGCTGGAAGGCCAGTTAGAGGATTTCGAGAAAGCAAGAGTGATGCTAGACTTGAAGGACACAGAAATAACGAAACATAAACAACAAGCTCAGCTGCTACAAGAACGCGAATTAGAACTGAAACGCAATCTGGATGACAAGAACCATTTACTTGCATTCGCGGAAAAAGATATTATAAAATTAAGAGAGCAGTTGTTTAGTAAAGCAAGTTTTAGTACTGAACAATCAGAGGGGTTACAACAACTGAGAGATGAAATTGAACGTCTCAGAAAGACAAATGATGAACTTAGTGCCAAATTGTCCTCAAAGACGCAAAAGCAGAAAAATTACCAAATGCAAATAGATGAACTTCAAACCAAAGTAAAAAGACTAGACAGGGAACTTCAGGATGCATTATCATTAAAAGAAAGACTTGAAAAACAACTGGATGGCCGTCAGAATGATTGGCAGGGCGAGACTGACAGGTTACAGGCAAAGATTGCCGAACTGTTAGAATGTCAAATAGAGGATCAAGACAAATATTCAAAACTTGAAAAAAGGAGCAAACAGTTCCAACTGCTTAATAAAGAACTAGAAGAATCAAATAGAAAACTAAATATTCAGATTCAACAGTTAATAAATGATAAAAACCGGAAAAAGGAACCTCGAAAGAGTAAGACGAAACAAGAGACTCCTGAGGTACCAAGATGTACACCAGCTTATGAGGTAAATCTTGCAAATCATCAACAGATAATAACGAACCAAAAAAAATCATCAAATTTATTATAACAAAAACAGGGCAGATTTTGTTGGTTTTCGTTTCCTTGCTATTTAGTCTTATTCTTTTATTTTTTCAAGCAAAAATTGCCTATTCCAAAATTTCATTACCGAAAGATTTTTATAACCTAATAACTATTTGATGTGAATGTAATCCAGTTCAAATCCTTTTATCCTAATGTTTACAGAGAGATGAAGAACTAGAAAGGCTGCGAAAGGAAGTTCAACGATATCGATTAGAAATAAGCAACAGAGAATCCAATTTTAACAGAGTATTTGCTGAACAGAAACCCATCATAACAGATGGGAAAAGAAGAACTTCCATGACTGGTTCTCCTGATCATGCAGTAAGTAAAATGCTGTTTCACATGCTAAATTCCGACACAGCAACATGGCCTTGAAACCGAAACACTAGAGCAAATTAGTAATGACTAACAGACTGCTACAGAGCCCGCGGAGCAATTTTAAAAGTCGGTGGGGGGTGGGGGAGGCTAAGATTGGACTAGTATTGGAAAAAGTGGGGGAAGGGGGGGGTTTAACATTAAAAAAAGGGGGAGGGGGCTATCCAGAATAGACCTCTTTAGCTTGGATGTTTTTAGTTTTTTTTTGCAACAGGAAATGCTGTGTGATAATCAAGTATTTATTTTATCATTTTAATGAAACTTTCTTGGTCATAAGTTCTGGAACTGGGCCCATTATCAAACTTTCCTTGGGGAGGGGGGGGGGGGRGGGTTATGTAGTTTTGAAACTGGGTGTCAAAGCTCATAAATCTCATATTTTGATGATTGACAACATCACATGTTTATTGTTTTCAAATAAAATTTGTTAATTGGTTATACAAATATTGGTTATAAATTGGTTTTACAAATATAAGCATTGTTGGTGCTTATCATACCTTTTAAATAATAATAATTATATTTACAGTAATAATTTATTATGTCGAATCCTTTCTCGTTATAGATGTTTCCTAATCTAACTGGTGCTCGTGGTCGTATGTCAGCCAATGGACAAGTCTCCCCATCTCATTTGCCATCATTAAAATAGATCAAAAAACACTTACTTCATAGCCAGAAGAAGAGTAGAAAAGGATAAACTAAGTTATATAGAATTTTAGGCTTCTGTTAAATCAGGCTTTTCAAGCTTTTCCCGTAAAAGCTATGAAAAGAAAAATTGAATTAATTTCAGACTTGACGTTTCCACATGGATTTTTATTGCATGGCACCATGTCTATTGTCATGAGAATAAAAGCATTTGTTTACTGCCATTTTCATAAACATGCGAACTCGGTAGGTGCGAGCTACACACTGAAATTTAGTTTTTGGCTGCCGTCAATCAAATCTAATCAGTTGGTACCTTTCATATGTTTGACTGGTGGCAACGAAAAATGCACCTCGTAGCTACAGAGTTTGCATGTTTATAAAAATGGTAGTTAACCAACATAAATTCATTTGTTCATGAGGTTACACAGGGAAAAAAAATTGTTTCAGACAAAAGCACAGTCTCATAAGAAAGCTAGGTTCTCCCTATATCATATTAATAAATGTATGGAAAGGGTTGAGGAAAGGGTAAGGAAAGTCATTAAAAAAGAAGTTACCCCTTCATTAAATCTGTTTGGTAGGTCAATAATCAAAAACAAACCATTCAACTTTCTAATGTTTCTCCTTCAGAAAAGTTGTGTGGTAAATAGAGAAATAGTTCTCAAAAGAATAACTAGATCCAAGAGTTAGTTTATATATTCATACCTGTAATGTATGTACATTGAAGTCTTTATTATTTAAACCTTGAAATATGTCAAAATCACTCAACTGCTTTTCGCATCTGGGGAAAATAAAATGTTACGAAATTATCTAAAAAACTAAAAAATAATAAAAAATCTCAACAGAAATCCTAGGGAACAAATCCTCTTAGGAAATATATTTATGACAAGTGAAATGAAAGTCATAACTTAGAGTGGATTTCATATGAATGCAGGGGCCGGCRTACCTAGAGGGAGGGTTATAGGGTGCCCATGTCCCTCAGTTTGTAAGCCAAWGGAGTGATAAAAAATAAAAGGATGTTTATTTTGGTTAAGCGTTTCTGAGGGGGAAAAATAGGCAGCTGTTCAGATTTGTGCCTCTCCCCCCCTGAAAAATCCTGGCTACACTGTATGCCCCTGGAAAGGTAAACATATGGTATTGCTTTACAAGCATGATAATTTACAAGCAAATAGTTGAAATAGGCACCAATTGTCTTGCAGTAAATTAACCAATTACAATGTGTGTAGCTATGGTAAGATATGGTACAGCTACACTGCTATGCATATTTGCCACATCATCTCCCACTTAAATGCAAACCGTCCTATCATAATCAATAAATATTMTATTATTTTACCCTACCTCATAAACTGGTTTTCTGCTGCCTTGCAATCTTTCCTTACAGAAAGTAATTTCTAAATAAAAATTTACTGAACCTGAATATACTGCACATTATTTAAAAAGTAGGAATGTCAAAAGAAATGAACTATTTTAAAGAAATACAGCATAAAAGAGCAAAGTTTTGGGGTTGTCACAACAACACCATTATCTGCAAAGTATTATCAGGATGATGTCCTTGCAGCACATCACACACCATAGGTCTATGCCACTATAAAATATGATAAAAAAACTAAAAATCATGTTCCAACCTCTTTAAGATGTTGCTGTTCATTATCTGAAGACTCCTCATTGCTTCCAGGAACAGAAGAGTTGTTCTGTAGATGATGATACTGTTAGGTAATATTAAGCATAAAAATGAATTGGCAGCAGGAAACAGTCAAAACAGACCTTTCTCTAGCCTGTGTAGCGGCATTTCGATGGAGGGGAATGGGGCAAGGAAAGAGAGTGGACTCTTCCCTCCTCTCTAGTCCCTTCTCTTTCCTCACCCACCCCCAAAAGCACTGCTACACTGGCTAACTTTTCCCAGTTTCACTTGAGTGACCACRAAACAATAGCACCAAGTCAAGGTTTCACTTGATGTGTTTAAGCCCGGGGGGGGTACTCTTGCCCGTTTAGAGTAGGGATGTGCCGCAGAGCCCTCTGAACCCTGACCCTGTTCCAGAGTAAAATCGCTGAAATTCATACCCTGTTTAAGAGCAAGACCGCTGAAAACCATACCCTGTTCCGGTATTGCAAAAATAGATACCCTGTTCCAGAGAGGAGAGAGCGTGATTTTATATACCCTGTTCCAGAGTGAGCACAATTTTATATACCCTGTTCCAGTTTAGAATCGAAGAATGGCGGCATGTACCTGTATAGTGAATATAGGGGAGTACCCCCCCCCCCCCCCCCGCTGTTTAGGCTAAATTTACTATGTTATCAAGTCTAACCTTGACTTGACCCATCGTTTCAAGGTTTATTTTCATAAGCATGCGAACTCTGTAGTAGCAATTTGCAATTTGGGTTTTCACTGCCGCCAGTCAAAAATATGAAAGGTACCAACTGATTAGTTTTGATTGAGAGCAGAAAAAAGAAAAAAAAAAACAGTGTGCAGCTTGTAGCCACGGAGTTTGCATGTTTATGAAAATAGAAGTAATTACCTGCTCGTGAGAAAGGTGTAGAGACATCATATTGGCTGCTGAACAATGTCTTGCGATGTTCCTTTTTATCACTGCTTTAAGTTTCTTTCTTTTTGATTGAAAAGCTTTGTACAACTGCTTCACATCTTCATGATCTCTGTGTGAATATACCAAATGTGTCAGAAAATCTTTTGATCTTAGCTTAGCAATAACTACAATAGCAACAACAACAGCCGCAGCAGCAGCAACAACAGGGCAACGATAAAGCATTTACACCAAACAAAGGAAAACTTTGAATTTAAAGCGGATTGCCAGAAACAAAAACCAAAATTCCCGCCAAATCTTCAGCACAAAATATCACCAGTTGAACGTTTTTCAGACTCACCTGAACTTCAAAGGAAACAATTCTTTGAACTCATCTAACGTATAAGCGTTGGAAACTTCAGCACTTAACAAAAATTCGCTTAGAAATTCAGCTATTTCGTTTGCTTCTGTTCTCTGCTGTGCGTCCGCCATCTTGAATTCTTGCTAGTTTCCAGACTCCTTTCTTGGCCCCATCGACCATGTGATAATAACTATTGATGGTTTTCACGGCGGCCATGTTGGAGGTTAACAAAAGAATTGTCAATGAATTCTTTTGTTGCGTTCTCCAACATGGCCGCCGTTTCTTTTGCTATTGAATTCTCTTGAGAATGAATGAATGAAAACCATCAATTAAATAGCAACAGGTCGAATTTTCCCTTGGCTGCACTTTGAAAAAATATTTTTTGCCAAGTAGATATGATTCACAAAACTTCAATTCTAGATCTACCCCAACTTTATGACCAGTTAGGCTGGGTATTTTTGAGTGCGCGCACCCCTGATAAAAAGGTATGAGATATATTCATAGGAATATGACAGAGTGCAGTGATGTTGGGGATCCGAATTTTACGCGTTGAGGAGTTTGTTGGACATCAACCTGATTTCGTTCAGAGATTTTGGAGTCCGCATTTCCTTAGAATGCGCAAATTAGAAAGATAACAAGAGTACTAACAACGTTTGAGTTCAAGAATTTATTCATTATTGAACATATTTATATTACGTTTCATAACGGCTAGAAACATTAAATAATCCATATTTTTTCAATTAATTCTTTTCCTGTAATCTTGTTATCTTGCGCACGCGAATATGAAGGCTGATATATTTTGAACTGACTGAGTAGCTGCTTTCACGCAATCGACTATATGCACTTGGAAATATAGTGTATTGGTGTTTGTACGACCGTCGCACGGCACGGTCAAGGAAGGCAACATGTTTAACCAATCACAGCCCATCAAAGCACTGCTGAATAGAACGTTTGGGCACGGCAAGCTACGTAGTCGTACTGTATCTTAGCATAGCCGTAACTACGCGTTATGATTGGATAAACTATTCTAAGACAATGGGAAACTATTCAATGTTAGGGCATGTAGTACCGTGTACGTCAGTACGGATCCTTCCCACTCATAACCGCCCTATACAGCACGTCTGTAACGAAGGTTTTTCACAATTATCCGAAAAAATATGTACTTCAATTTTGCTCGTTAACAAAAAAATCGTTGCATTAAACGTTCTTTAGAAAAGAAATGGAGTTACTTCTAATGTTATTTTTATAATATTAAGGACATAGCACCGTCGGTTGTTTCGGAAATATTTTAAATAATTTAATTTAGTTCAGACCGCTTCGAAAAGCTTAGATTTAATGAGATAGACGTCAAATAATATGTTAAAAATTTACAACTCTGTCTGACAAAGTTTGCTTGCCATAGCTAGCTTTTCTCGCTAGCGAAAAAAAAAGTTAAATCTGGCTTATATAACTATCCGGTAAAAGATTTTTATTACATGTACAAGCTTATGATAAATAAATACGGAATTTACTACAATGAAAGTTGTGTATATTGATCAATATATTTTGCGAGCCTACTGTGCAGTTTTCCTCAGTGTCGTAGACGGTTAGTCTCCCCCACAGCGGCTTTCATTGTCGTCACGCAACGCTTTCTCCCTTGAGTAGCTACTCAGGGGAGAAAGCGTTGCGCGACGACACTGAAAGCGGCTGTGGGGGAGACTAGTAGACGGTCCAATCGGTTCGTATTCAATCATTCAAGCCAACAGCGTGTCGTTATCTCAGGCGAAGTAATCTTAAAGATCTTCCTTTATTCCGACTCTTTCATTTTTGGCTTCGACTAATTTTTCAATTGTGCTTTCTTCGCTTTTTACTTCCTCTTCTTTTGCGGGAGGATAATCCTCTTCTTCTTCTTCTTCGTTTTCTTCTTCTGGAAGCTGTCCAGGAGTCAATAATCGCTCAATGTCGGAGCTCTCTAAATCTAGAATTTCCTCAGCGCTGACAAAGCCGTCTTTATTTTTGTCTAATTCTTGAAAATTCTAGTGTGAAAAATAAAGAATTCCCAATGAAAAAGTCTGCTCATATAACTGGTTTTACTTTGAATGTTGTACTATAGATTTTCTAGCATGCCGAGAATGGTAAAAGTCACACAAACCTTTATTATGGCTTCTTTTGTGTTTTGTTCTAAAAGTAAAGCAGTGGCAAGTTTCTGAAAGCAAAAAAGGATCATTGTCATCATCAATACCCCCTTCATCATTATCACCATCATCATCATCATCATCATCACCATCTTCAATATTATCACCACCAATGACCTTTATCATCATCACAACCACCTTCACCATCATCAACTTCATCATCATCAACACCGTCACCATTATAAACAATGCCTCTACCACTCTCATCATAAGCACCACTGAACAACTCAACACCTGTACACACCACCACCACCATCATCACCATCATCACCTCCACCACGACAATCATGCACCACCATCACCACTGTTGAGCACGCAAATGAGCCGATACCATCATTACAACCCTCATCGTCATCAACCTCCCCATTACAGGGTTCGTACTCTTTTGAAGTCTCTAAATTCCATCGGGCTTTCCATAACCTTTTCCATGACTTTTACATTATTTCCCATGACCAATATTTATCAAAAACTAAATAATAACTAAAAACAATTGCAACATCTCTGAATAAATCATAACATTTTTACTGTTTACAATAATGTTTTCAATGACTTTCCATGACCCTGAACATAATTCCATGACTTTCCAGGATCTCCATGACCCGTACGAACCCTGTATTCCTACCACAGCTGTCATCATAAAAAACACAACATCCAAAACGATCATCATCTGTCATCATCGACACTTCACTACCAGCAATATCACCATCATCACTATCATAATTATGCAAGAAATATTTACCCTAGACATTTCGATCCACTYGTCTTGTGTTACCGATTTTCTTCCCAATTCTTCAAGGATTCGCTGTCTGTTTATGCAACCAAAAAAAAAAAAGATTAATAAAAAAAAAACATTTATTTTTAATCAAACAATCTCTCAATATTGAGTTGAAAATAAACTTCCGATGCTAAGTGCATGATCAATCCAGTATGGTCATGTGATCAGCCACTTAACAATAACGGCTCGTAAAATAGGGGCAGGGAGGAGGGTACGTAGGTAGGAGTATAGACCACACCCAAAAAAACATATGTAACACACTACCTTGTGGTTTCCATTGGTTTAAAGGCAAAGCTACTGAGTGGCAAGTACTCTGTATCTTTATATTTGCTAGTTTTACAGTCACTTTCATTAAAAAATGTGAAATGAGCCCACCAAATGTTGATGGCTAGATTACGAGTTCCATAGGAACGTACATGATGAAGCCACCTGAAAAAAAAAATTTATTAATTAACAAAGAAATGAAAAAAAAAAAAAGATCAAACAAAAAGAGATAAGTGGGAAAAACTAAATGAATAAATTCTATTAAATGGATGGAAAGACGGACGGTTGGGATGGTGGGTGGATAGTTATTTGGATGGATGAATGGATGAATGTATGGATGGACGGACGGACGGACCGATGGACGGAATATAGGGTGGATAAGTAAGCAACTCTCATTAACTATAAATATTAATCTTATTAAAAATCAATAACATATACATACATGTAAGGTATATAAAGACAATCACCCTCCATCATTGATACATTATACCATGGTATATTCCTAAGGCCAGGATATTTATACATGTCTACTTTTTCCACATCGACAGTGGAGTAGGAGCCATCTACTTTGTCAATGTGCGCTTGTGGTTTGAATATCTAAAAATAGAAAGAAATATAAATATTCATCCATGAATTGTCACATCTGAAGTCTTAAAGGCACAGAAATATGATAAAGAAGAGGTACTACATCAAATACTTCAAAAAGTCTCTGATCTCAAGGCTGTAGCGAGACAGAATCATTTATCAAGGCATATGATCAGTGAAGGCAGGAGCAACGATTGTTGGAAATGTGATTTCCAGAGAATTTAGTGACATTTGTGACATTTAACCAAGGCAACTTGACTATGCCCCTAAATCTAAGTCTATATGATGGGCCATACTTTGACCACACTGAATGTGGCAGTACGATTGGCCCCCTTCTTACCATGACATATACATTTGCAATTGGAAGCTTATAAAGTATAGGGGTAGTCCAAGGGGAAGTAGGCATTTAGATTAGTTGTTATTCTCTCCTCCCCCCTTGCTTTGTGAGATCGACCTTTATGTTTAGGGAACTCTTTAACCAATCCCCCAGTTCGCTCACTTGCTAAGATGCAACTGACTCATATTTTTCTTACAGCTTGAAATGCATTATATATAATGATTTTATGAGTCATGTACCTTGTCGACCATTACAAATTGCTTGCTGCCACTAAAAAGACAATTGATATTTTCTACTGCATCAAAATGGAAGACAGACTTTGTGCCACCACTACTAAACCACATGACAGCATCCTGAAGCACGTCTGTAAAGCCTCCACAGTGTAGACTCTTTAGTAACATATACTCTTCTAAAATAGTAAAAAGGTGAAAATTAAGTTCCTGAAGAGTTCTGTCAGACCTAAGCAGGGGCAGATCCAGGGGTGTCCAAAATGAAGAAATGTATATTATAGAGATATAATTACGCATTGCTTCAAAAAAGGTAAGAGTAATTATGGCATTAATGGGGTGTCAGGTGTACTGCAGGATACCCTCTGTATCTGCCCTTGCTAAGTACTATAGTTTTGAGCTCCATCATAAGACACTTGGCAGCAGGGGCTTGGGCCTCAAAAAAGTTTTACTTATGATTATCTGAAGATGAAAGCTAAAAGTTGTGGATAATGGTACATTGCCCCCATTTCAAACTCTCAATTGATGGTTTTCACGGCGGCCATGTTGGAGGAACTTAACAAAAGAATTATTGTCAATTAATTCTTTTGTTATATCCTCCAACACAGCCACTGTGTCATTTGTTATTTAATTCCCTTGGGAAATTAAAAACCATCAATTCCATTATCCCTGCTCCAAAAAGAAAAAACCCACAAAACACAGGAAAAAAAGGTCAAACAGACCTTGCATTTGTTTTGGTAGACTCTCAACCATATAAACATCTTCTGTCTTGTAACGTTTGATAAAGTCTTGAAGTTTAAAATTAAATGTCCCCCAAGATCTATTTTCTTTCTTTCCTTCCTCGACATCCATTTTGAGTCCTCCAAACTTTTTGCTGAAATCAAGAAAGTGGTGCCCTGTTACTGCTTTTTGATCTATATCATATGGAATATTCTAGGTGCACTTTAAATCAATTAAAATTCATATATAATTTATAAACCAATATTTAGTCTAATTGGAGCAGCCACGTGTTTCAAATGCATGGAACCCCATACCCATACTCAATAACCATTATCTTCAATAATCTAGTCATCTTCATTCTGGTATTAACTAAGGTACATCCAAAATTATACATGAAGGTTGTCTAGTAGTGGGATAGCAGGGGGAAGGGGGTAGGGGGTAGAGGGGAGGGGGGAGGCAGCCACTCTCTCAAAAAGTTTTATTGAACCTGCAGATATCGTGGATAACTTTAAAAATGAAACATATGCCTCAGTGCATTGACAGGAAAATGGTATATTATGGTATAATTCATGATTTGTTAATTTGCCTCAAAATATTATATTTAATTATATTTTATTAAATATAGCACGTAAATTTTTAGAAATATCAATGTATGGAACATGATGCCAACCCTGTCTGTACCATTGTGCTCAACTTCTGGGAGCCTTCATGTGCATGCACATTGCTTTTTATATTTCTTATTCTTTTTACCTCTTAGAAGATTTAATCAATTCTTTTACTAAAGACAGAAACTTTTAATATTTCAATTCAACTAAAGATTCAAGCATTGATAAAAACCTCAATCTATCAAGGTTAGCATTTTAAATAAACATAATGAAATATCTCCTGAGTAAATCTAAAACTTAAAATAAACCTTTTTTTTTCAAAATTCAATTTTTWAAAAAATGAATACAGGTGTACAGCATAATCATCAAATAAGCAAAATTTTAGATATACTACGATATTGGTAATAACCAGGTTTTTCAAAAACGTGTGAAAACCAGAATTTTTATTCTGCTTCTAAAATTGCAATATCTTTTTTCATAATAACACTGAGGTGCTATCAAAACTCATTTGTTTTTTATCTTTTCATTCAATTGAAAATATTTATTTTTCAAAAACATCCCAAGAATATTCCAGATAACTAAAATAAAGTTAAATAAACTTTGGTTGTTTTAGCCTTTTGTATTTACTCTAAAATATAACAAATATTGTCATATTTATACTTCTCTCCAGCTTTTCTCCAAGAGTCATTTTCACTGAACTTTGAAGAAGGAAGTATATTCTGTTTCAGAATAAAGAAATAAATAAAATGGGAAGCAGGGGAGGCATGCTCTGTTAATGCACTGCCTCTCACCAATGCGACCTGGATTTGAGTCCTGCTGGTCTCGGTGTCATATAGTTATAAAATCTAAAATTGGATAGATTGAATATTATTATGGAATGATATCAATTATTTTCATATTCTTGGTTTAATAAATTCTTGCCAGGTTTTTAATAAATTTTGTTGCCACCAAATAACAGAAAAAGACAAAATCCTGATATTAAAAAGATAAGTTTTTTGTCGAGATAGATCCTGTAGTGTTAACAGAAGTATGAGAAAATGTCATAAGCTATCTGCACTTATTGTTCTAAACATATTTCAAAATTAACACCAATATGATAATATTCATAAAATCTGTGAACTTCTAGACAAGAGAGAGGAAGAAAATTAAGGAAGATTATTTGTGAATGGAAGGATTTTTTATAAGCTGGTTATATTTAATATCAGTAAAAGCTCCAACACCTGCTACAAGAAAAATCCCTAGTGCATGATGACATAAATATATTAAGAGGCTTAGGATTTGATTTTGACACTCCAAAAGTTTTTCTACATTCTTTAAATTGCCTAATCTTTCATAGATAAAGATCCAAATGAATATCTATTTTTCTTTTTGATTTTTTTACCGCAAAAGAGCGGGGAGATTTTAGATTTACGAGCGCATTCGAAAACCCGCACAATCATAGAAACACTTAGCGTATGTAGGTCACTACCGCAGGGGTTTATCACGTTATTATTTTGACGTCGTAATGTTATTATGAACGTTAAAAGGTTTTTGGGGATTCCCTTTGAAGTATAATACTTCTGCGCGGATAAAAAAATAAAATAAAGAATAACATTAAGTTTGAAAAACTTTTAAAAGGGGATTTTAAATGAATACAAAGGGTTTCCAGATCATTTACAGAATGACATAAAACCATATGAGTGCAGATATTGTTATGTCTTTGTGTACGTCTACGACTTGGCGGCGTCGACTCTCCAGGAATTAAGAGAAACTAAAACACGGAAGACAATGAATATAAAGAAGAAGGTCTAAAATCTCATATTTTATGACAAGGAAAGATTTACTTCTACATCTGTAAAAGACAGATTGATTATAATTAAAAAATTCAGAAGAAAACACTCTTTTTTTATATGTTTATATATTCGAGTGTTTCAGCATAAATAGTAAGGTTGTAGTTTGGATGATCAATGCTTATATTTGTGAATCAAAAATTGGTGTCATTTATGAAGGAATTAGTCGGTCGTGGTTTAGGATAAAAATTTCATAAATGAACACGATAACGAAAAGAAAAACTCTAATTATGAAAGCGAATCGCGATCCTGTGCTAAATCCTCGTTCCAAGATCATTCGACACAAAATGTTCAAAAATTTATATCAAATTTCTTAGACATTCCATACCTTAAATACTCATCTGTCCAAAGAGAGAACGAGGGCATTTTCTTAGCGGCTCCTTTAAAAAGTACAGGTTTTCCAGGTTTTACAAAGTTCTCAAAGAAATCTTTAGGCGAAGGGGCTCCATGTAGCTCGGTAATGGGCTGTTCGGGTTCTTGATGGGACCCTAGAGGCTTGAGATGGCCTGATGGGTGATCGCTATTGCCTTGAACTACATTAAAAATAAAGCCGAGAAGAAGTAAAGGCTTCATTCTGATAACAGTGGCATCCGCTCGTAGGATTTTTTTTGTCTAAACGGGAAAAGATTCACGTTTAAGTGGACGAGGCATTTTACATGCTCGTGTTTATGATGGCAGATAAATTACGAACAATCATCGACTTATAGTGTGATCTATCGTATGAGCCCGAAAAAATATCGACTGATTAGTTTGAAATTCCGTCATGCCGAATGTACTTCGCGTGATTTTCGGTAGTTTTTCGGCGATGAAAGAACTGAACAGCTGTTTAGAGTCAACGTTGAATTAGCTCGTCAAAGCTCTCTTTTTTAACARCTTCGAAAATTTTTTTTCTCTTTTCTTAGAAAAAGGTACGATCTTAGACTGTATAATATTTTTTACAAAGCTAGAAGCACTTCAAAATTTTTCTTTTTTAAAAAAGCTACAGCATTATTAACCTATAGCATCATTCAGAAATTTCTAGCTCTTTATGAAATTCCTAAATACGACTGCAAAATTTATAATTTTCAGAAAAATTCAAGATTTATTATTGTACAGGCAACACTTTCGGGTGTAATCCCGCGAGTATCCCGCGAACTCCATGTTCTGACGTCACGCAGTAAACATGGACGCACTTCCAAGGCAACTGTGCTAATTTATTCCTTTTTAGGACATCTTTGTTTTGTAATAATCTTCTACTGCGTAAAACCAGAATACGGAATTGAGTTTATATTTCTCATAAACTCCTACAATTCTTTTTAATCCTACGAATTTATGATCGAGCGAGATTTCTTCGATTTGTTTGACTTGGTAGTTCGATCCTTGGAACCGAAATATGGAAAGACAACTAGATAGGGAAGACTTCTTGATGTTATCTTAACATCCAAGGAATTTGCGATCTTGAAAGTCCAAGAACACGGAGAACGACTAGCCATTCCTTTTTGCCAACTCCATTTTGGCTCAAGTTCCACGATTCCAAGATGATGGCAACGAGGAATCCTAAAGTTGCTCCCAAAAAATCTAGTGTCAAAGCTAAATCAAGAGAAACAGCTAAAGAACAAGGTAGATTTAATAGATACTAGTATAAATAGATCTCTCGATAATAAACCTTTCTTCTTTTATCTTCTGTGTAAATTTTTAAGATGAATCGCTCGCTCCAAGTAAAGTTCTTGCCAGCAAAATGTCTCGCAATAAATTCAGGCCAATTTTTTACGTCCAACAAATTTATCGCTTTGAATCAGGGAAAGGGAACCGAATCAGGCTTACAGTCATTTAACTTACATTGCAGTACATAACACTGTCTTTATTCTAGTTAGTTGGTTTATTTTAGCCGATTAATTTTAGCATTTATTATTGCAAAGTGCCTCCCTTACTGTAAGTAATAGTCATGTGTAGTCACTGGCTGAATTTGAAAGCTGCATGCTCCAATGCTAGCTGAAAATTATGTAAAACTTATAAATTATCATTTACTGCAGTGGACAGTATATGGAAGCATCAGTTATGGAGTTGAAAAAGTTATTTTTTTGTAGATTTGCATGGCTATTTTATGATTATTGCAAGTAATGGTATTTTTTGTCACCACCCCTCCCATAGTAGGGGTTAGAGATGTCCATTTTTCATTTGATTTTCACCATTAAAATTTTAACTGATTTTATGACTTTTAAAAATTTATGTCACTTACACACCTCGTAATTTTATAGTAACTGTTTAATTTCTTTTCTAGCTTGGACAGACACAGATGACACAGAAACTACTAAAGAATCTGGTGATATCCCAGAACAAGCTAAGGACTCTAGTGAACAGAGTGATCAAAGTGAACCAAGTGTGCCACAAAAGGGTAGCGTTATATCAGTACGCGAGGCACCAGACTCTGAAAAAGATCCACTTGAAGGGCCTTCAGACGTGGACACGATTGGTGCATCAGAAGTGAATGGAATATCAAATGGTGTAGGAGAACATTATCCAATGACGACAGATACTGAGGTACCTTATGGAACTGAGACAGACTCCATGGGTAGTATAGAAAGTGGAACTAAAAGGAGAATTAAAAGGAATACAGTAGTACCAACTGATGGCGAGGATACAAGTGGACGGCAGACTCCAGAAAGTGAAACCAGAAAAGGTAGGAGAATTTAATTCATTTTATGTGTGATATTTGTGCAATATCAAAATTTCTGACATGCAGGTGCTAAGTGTTTAAGGAAGTTTAGTGCATATACCCAGCACTGCCACTTTTGACTGTAGCCATATTGGGGACCTTTTTATTTATTGATTATTTTATTTATGTTTATTGCGGATTTCTTAAATGTTCTGACAGTATTTCTCACTAATTTAGATGCTTGGAGTGCTGCCGAAGCTGATATTTCAGAGTCTGATGCTGCACCCAGTAGGCCTAGCTCTGCTGCAGCTATGTATGGACAAGCTCTCACTAAATCTAAGAGCCGACCAGCTACAGCTCCTGGTAAAAGACCACTCCCTCTTCCTGTTGAACGACCAATGACAGCTCCATCTTCTGCATTATTGAACAAAAACAAAGCTAGACCTAATAGCAAATTGCGCGATCCTGTGGCAAGTACATCAGCTACTCAACCAGAACAACAGGATAAAACACTAGAAAATTGGTCAAATGACAAGCAACTGGCATTAACTAATGGGGTAGGCTACAGTGCTTTCTAATCACTTCTAAAATTGTACAGTTTGCCATTGCATACAAGTGGGTTTTGGTGGGTCAATCAAGGCATTTCCATGACATTGCATAGGCATGTGCCCTCATGAAAACTCTTTTGTGAATGTTATGGAAAAACTTGCACAAATGGTACAATTTTACATATTATGTATGGGACTGGTAAGCACTGTAAAAGTTGTTCTGAAGGAGTAGTGTCTAGGGTAATGTCAAACTTATATAATCATAAAAACAGGTCATATTTATGTCTAGCTAAGCATTAAGGAGAAAAAAAGACTCAGTTTAAAATAGCATCATTATTTTCATGATACTATAGGAAACAAAAGAACCTTGGAGTCTGGACATAGTAAAAGATGGAACAAGAGATGGAGGTATGTTTGTTACAGTCCAGTGTCCATAAAAGAGTAGACTGATTCCATAAGTCATAGTTTTTGCTTCTTTGTGGGTTGTGGTCACTCAACTATATCCAGAATTGACAAAGGAGCAAAAGCACCGACTTATGTAATCAGTCTTATAAAAGACAAAATTGCTAGGAAAACCTTTGAATTTTAGATGCATTACCAGTAGATAAAGCATTATATGCTAATTAGATTTGATGAACCACGTGATCAGATTTCTTCATGTGAGTTGATTGGCTGGTTTTTAATGGGCTGTCAAAATAAGATCACCTGGTATTGAGCAGAGAGATATACAAGTGCTCTCAATGCTATGCCATTCATGCTTCAATGACATGACATTTTCAAGACCTTGCAAATGCATATAAAGTTTGTCAATCTGTGGAGGGCTAATAGAATGTAAATGATATAATGTTCAATCATTTTAATCTTTTTTAGCTAGCACAGTATCCAGTTGTGATCTGCTTGCTCCACCAAAGCTGAGTGGAGAACAGAATGCCTACATACCCTTTTTCTATGCCAGAGAGTGTATTCAAAAGGTAAAGCTATCTAGTATGTTGCCTGATTGACATGGGTAAAGTTGGAGTAAAGGGATCCCCTTAATGAGAAAGGAACCTCCCACTTCATAGTTTTATATCTTCATACATAATACTGTACAGAAGTACATACACAAGTGCATTAAGGAGCAAAGAGAAGGGTGTTAAAATGTCACAATTATATCTCCTGCCATCTTTTCTATTCAGTCTACTTGATTTAACCAGTGGCTTTCAACATCATTTTAGCCAAAGGATTAGTTTTATGCTATCCATGTGTGTGGGTATAGGTTATGGATGACATGAAGAGAATGAAAGCAAGTCATATCAAAGTCGTTGATCAAATACAGGATCAGTACAGACTGATAGAAGATGAAATCCAGGTAAAGTGACCTATTCTTTGTTGTTCGTGATTTACAGTTAAACTTCATTTAAGCAGATATAACTAGCTAAAAACTAGTGTGAGCTGCGTCGGTGTTTCTAATGAAACAGTAAGGATGAAAAGGTAAATTATACACCGTGAAAAGATGAAAAAACTTACTGACGTTTCGGACGCTAGTCCTTCATTACTCCGTTACTTCATTACTCCGACGAAGGACTAGCGTCCGAAACGTCAGTAAGTTTTTTCATCTTTTCACGGTGTATAATTTACCTTTTCATCATTACTGCTTCATTTAAGCAGCCTTTTAATACAGCACAATGCATAACAGTAAGATTTTATGCTTTAGCCCCCCACTTTTTGTGAAATTTTAATACATTTTCACTAAACTCAGCCCCCCCCACCTTGCCATACAATGTCACTATTGAGCCCCCCCCCAGTCAAAAATCTGCTCTGCTGTCCCTGTACTTACCCACTTATTGACTTACTCTGACACCATTTGTCAATTTCAGGGCAAGTTCAATACTTTTGTGATTGGACTCAGATCTCAATATTCAGATAAGGTGGCTACGTTTAGGCATGTGATTGAAATACACAGAGAAGACACTACCCATAAACAACAGTACTGGCAGGAAACAGTCAAGGTAAATATCAGCCAGTATAGCAACTAATCACATCTCACCCCACCCCTATCATTCCTTTCCAAATCTCAGCTTCTAGTGGAAAACTGGGGTTCTCTCATTTTATTGATAACCTGAAACAACCCCTGGGCTGATCTAGGTCAGAACATGGCTAACTCACAGATCAAACCCTGAAACAACCTCTGGGCTGGTCTAAGTCAGGGCATGGCTAACTCACAGATTAAACCCTGAAAACACCTCTGAGCCTATCTAAGTCAGGGCATGGCTTACACACGGATCAAACAGTGAATTAAACAGCCTCTGGGCTGATCTAAGTGAGGCACGGCTAACTCACAGATCAAACCCTGAAACAACTTCTGGGCTGATATAAGTCATTGCATGACTAACTCACAGGTTGAATTAGATTTTAGCATGCTGGGCTTGTTTAGGTAAAGTGATCAGAAAACTTGGAGGAAAACCCTCACATCAAGTGTGAGACCTACACTTTAGGGTCACCACTGCACCACCCTTGATTCACTACCCTTGGCTTTATCCTCAGTTAGGAAATGACAGATGATTTAGAGCAGGGTGCAAAAGACTAAAATGCTTCGGGTGGATTCTCTAGTCATGTCTTGAGGCCTTTTAAGGAGTCAGTTCACCATACACAAAAAATCTAATCCATGTCTTATTTTGTTGTAGAGCATCCAGGCTAAGAACAAAAAGCTTTTACAAGAGAAACGAGAATTGATGGTAAAGAACAGAGATGAATTTAATAAGCTGGAGGAAGAAAAGGTAATCAAATCATTCCTTGTTGTATATATAATTAATGTCATAAACTTTTTGAATAAATTAAAATACATTAATTTCTTTAAATTTTGAAATAATGTTCGAAAGATTGAAGTGAACTGAAAGCTTGTTTCGTATTCTTTTCTTTTATAATGTTCTCGCACACAAATTATAAAATATGCTCACTAAAAATACATGGAATTCAATATTAGAAACTAACTTGCTCTACTAGAAGAGCTGAGGCCCGGCGTTTCTTTTTCTGTGGATACTTTGAATACTTGCCTAGAGCATTTTTCCTTATGAAAGCTGATTAACAGTATTAGGAAAAAATATATATCTTCAGGGCCGTAGCCAGGAAGAAACTACAACCGAGGCGAAAGACCCCGAGGGGGTAGCACGAGCGCCGAAGGCGGCAGTCTATAGGGGGGTTCGAAGTTTTGAAATTCAGACTCTCGGAAATGCGATTTCCAGCGTTTTGAGGGCCTTTTGGTAACCTTTCATAAACAGTTTTAAGCGGAACTTAGTATGCAATCTTTTATTCTGAAACACTGTGATTGTCAACCTTGGATGATGATTATTCGTTCCTAACAATGTTGAATATCAACGTAGAATAATATTATCAGTCTGATGGAAAAAAAAAAAGATCGACAACGTTTGGTAAAATTTTAACGAGGCGAGTGCCTCGGTTCGCCTCATACTGGCTACGGCCTTGATCTTAGGAATGAATTTTGCTCCAAAGCGCGCACTTATAAAGGAGGCTATCTTCAGTTTGCGCAATTGTCTTGACTGCTAGTTATGCAACCCCACTTTTGTACTTTGTCAAAACCTGTTCTTATTATGAGGTTTTTCTGTCCATTTTAGACTAAAGCAGTTAAAGACTTGACGGACATGCTGGATGCTAAGCATGTAAAGTACACCGCAAGTAAGTCACAAAAGCAATGCAATCTTTAAAAATTATAACTGAAGTGTGTGAGAAGAATTTGAATTATCTGTGTTTTCGGGCACCATATCTGCCGTGTCATCTTACAGGGATTTTTTTATTGATTCCTAGTGCTACGAGATTTTAAAAATGAGCGAAATAAAACACTGGAACTTGAGGAAAGACTCAAATCACTGGAGGAGAAAAACGCAAAGCTACAAGAAGAGTTCGATTCCAACAAAGGAACGCACGAACAAGAGCTGTCAGTTATCAAAGCAAAACATGAAGAAGAGCTGCAAGAACAGAAACAACAGCTCGATCAGTTGATAAAAGAAAAGGATGAAACGCTGGAAAAAGAGAGGAAAGAGAATGAGGAATCTGTAGAAGAAGAGAAACGAAGATTGTCTGAAGAGAACCAGAAACAACTCGCTGAAATTGAGGCAAAGGAGGCCGAGTTGACATCTTTGAGAGAAGAATTAGAGCGAATGAAAGTTGCAGGGTATGTTGAAGAATATAAGGATTATAATTTTTATTCTTTTTAGTATTTTTTGCGTTATTGAATAGTGGTTCAAATTTCAGAATAGGAGGGCTTAGAGGAAAGAAATGCCCGAGTTACAACGTCAACAACAACAACATTTTGTGTCCTTTACAATCCATTCTCAAAAAATACTTATTTTTAGCGTTGCTGTTGCTGCTGCTGCTATTCCTACCAAAGTAGTATCAACGACACCAACTTCCTCTGCAGTCGTCGAAACACCAGCAACTAAAGAAGAAAGCCATGAAGAACTAAAGGAAAAAGCCGAAGGAGAATTAGCTGAAACCAAAGTTGTTAATGTAACAACGACTGTACAAGATACCAAAGAGATAAACAAGCTTATTGAAGAAAAAAACAGGTTAACAGAAGAAAAGTCCAAGATAGAAGAAGAACTGAAAAAGTTTGAAGACGAAGCTAAAAAAGTTAAAGAAGAGTTAGAAAACGAAAAACAAACAGTAATAAAGCTGCAAGAAGAGAACAGTCAGTTTGGAAAAGAAAAGACAAGATTCGAAAAACATGCAGCTGAAAATAAGCAGGTACGATTTTATTTTAATCCATTGTAAGAAAGTCCTATTCATAAAATTCTCAAACTTCTTAAGACAGCAAGTATTTTACAAAAGAAAGTAAGAAATTCAACCAAGGCGTCTTATAACAGTGCAAATATTTATGTTTGCATAATCTTCGTAAGAAAATTCTTTGCAAGGAAAAACTGTAAATCCTACAAATATAACAATCTTTTGTCTTTGCTATTTGCTACTGTACTTAATAGGAAATCCGTGAGCTTCGTGTACAGTGTACGACTCTTCGTGAGCAGCTTCAAGGCTTGCTTGAGGCTACAGCACAAAACAAAGATGACAAAGAGACAGAGGAGAAGCTACAGGCTGCAGAAAATGAGAAGAAAGCTCTTGAAGAGGAACAAGCGAGAATGAAAGAAGACTTTGAAAAATGGAAAGAGCAGTATCAAGCTGAACATGACGGCGAGGAACCAACTGAAGATGACAGGTAAGCTAGGCTACTTCTAGCTCTTCTTCTAGGCGGTCATGCACGCACGCGAGGTAGTTCAAACATCTTTTGTCGGTTGAAATTTGTACTCTTTCTTTAAACCGAACACGCTAAATTCCAATTCGATCTATGAGTTAGCGATGTCCTGACTTTGACCATCCTAGAGGTTGTTTCAGGGTGTCGATAAAATTTCTAGGTTTGAAGGCGGGCAGAGAGGACGGGGCAAAAACAGCAACAACAGACACCATGATCTGTGTATATATCATGAAGTATGATATACTTAGAAAAACGTTTTTCAAATCCTTGGCCGGATTTTATCGTTGTAGGAGCGAAGAAATACAGCAAATGATGGAGAAGCTAAAAGAAGAGGAAGAAAAACTACAGAAGGCACAAAATGCGATCGCTGTTATGACCATGTTGAAGGAAGGTTCTGTTCCAGACACTCTACCTGTGGCTGGTAGGTCTTTCTTGTGCGAAGACACACTTAGCAAGTTTATACTCACTCCTCGCAGAATTCCGGTTATATTTGATATTGGTTTAGAACTTCACACCGTTTGCCAGCAACGTTGCAGGTCAAGTTCAAACGATGAAACTTGTTGTGCGCAATGCCACAATGCAGAAGCAGATCTCAATTCTACTTTTGCAACGTTGCGCGCAAGTTTTGGATAGTTTGGGACGATTTTCGTGGCTTTTGATGTTACACACTTCGTGCTTTGCTATTTTTCTCTGCTGCACCTTATTTGTTCTGCTTATGCACTCAGCTATTCCGAGACAAAGAATTTGTGACCGTGTTTTGTAGCAACTTGGTAGGAAGTTCTCTCTCGTTTTTATAGTTTATTAAAAGTTGCTGTATCGGTACTTGTAAGCATCAAACTTAATGGTAAAATTCTAACACCGCCAATGTTTTTTGTCGTAGCGGTGGGTGTAAGTAATGAAAAACTCGAAGAACTTGAAGAAAAAATCAACAAACTAGAAGAAGAACGAGATAACCTTGAAGTTCAACTAGAAACACTAAAGAAAGGGAACGAAAATGAGGTGGAAAAACTAAGCAAAGAAATTGATTCTCTAAATGACAAGAATTCTAGTCTAGAAGAGAAAATAGACGAGCTGAATTCTGAGAATGAGGAGCTTAAAGCTGAGCTTAGTGAAGCAAGAGATAGTGTTCCTATGTCGCCTCCTACAAGTCCAGGCCTGGCTGTTGAAGGTGAAGATGTGTCGGTAAGGAGAACTCATTTTTACTACCTATGAACGGGTGTTTCTAATAAAATATGCTATAAAGTTTTTACAAATTCTAACAATCTATTGGGAGTTGATGTCGAATCGTCAATTCTGATTGGCTGCATCATTCCACTGCACCTCAGCTCTGGGGACATATCCAGGAATTATCATAAGGGACCTTACTTCCAACTTCTTACTTCTTACTTTCTTCGAGTCTTCCCTCTGTCTTTCCCCCCGAAGACGAGTGTGCGGGGACCTCTGACCTCATGGGGCATTAACACTAAAGCACAATTCAAAGATATTGAATTCATCATTTTTTTTCCAATGATTGTCCAGGAAATGTCGTCAAGACTGGTGGAGCTACAAGATGAACTAACTAAAGCTGCACAGGAACTCGAGCAAGAGAAAGCTGACAGGTCGGCTAGAATGGATGAACTGGAAGTTCTGAAACAGGTATGAGCAGTGCGCATGACGTAAGACTGACGTAGGGCTGAGATAGGCTGATATAGGGCTGACGTATAGAATGGGAATTCTGAAGGGAACACTATCGTTCTGAATCTGCCAAATCTTAGGACAAGGCACGTGTGGGGGAGGGGTGGGGCTTCAAATGAAAGAAAGCATTTTCCCCTGGGAAAGAGACTATATTCTTATTAAATATTGAGTCTTTAATGGCAGTGGACTTTAAGAAAGTCTAAAGGACACCCAATTCTAATCGAGATTCAGTTTTTCCACGAGGGTTTCAAGAAAAAAATTCAAAGACGACAAGGCATTCCCAGCTCCTCAAATAAGAATTTAGATTCACTTAAGCAACCGTTTTATGTTTGCAGGAGATTGAAAATCTGAAGGAAGGTTCTGCTGGAGATACAGACAATCTCAGGGCAGAATTAAACTCGACAAAAGAAAGATTGGAAGCCGAGATTGAATCAAAGAACAAAGTAAGTTCAGGACTAACCACTAGAGGAATGTGATAAAAAATGTCTTTTATGTCATTAGGTTCGGCTCATGTAAAGTTCGACCTTGACATGAGCCTATATTACGTTATGAAGCTGCAGTTTTTAGCTTACCGTTGACGTTTATGTCTGTAGGATTTAGATCAAGCCAAGAAGAGGATTGAAGAGCTAGAAAAACAGCTCATGGCGAACATTCCTATCGACACAGCGAAAGAAATGAAATCCTATCAAGAGAGATTGGTAAGAATTATGAAATATAGAGACATGTAGACAGCAAAATTTCAACATTACTAAGTGCAAAATATTGTTACCTTAATATCTAGACCACGCTTCAGGAAGAGAAGAATAACTTGACAAAAGAGAACCTGGCTCAAAAGGCTAGCGTTACCACTCTCTCTGCTAAAATTGAAACCTTGAATAACAATCTCGAAAGGCAGAAGAAGAATGAAAAAGAGCTGCAGGTTTGTATGATGATTGCTACCTTCAGTCTTCACTGTTGAATCACTGTTGTTATCGATGCTGTTGTTGTTTCTGCTGCTGTTGATGTTGC